CAACAACAACAAAATATATGAGAACATACAGGGAACAAAAGAAATAATAATGGCTGCTCCAAAGAAAGGAATTATCACTAGGCACTAAATGGTGATAAGATTATTGATATGGTTTAGAATTGGGAACTTCCTATCCTTTCACTCCAACCCACTCTGAGATCCACTTCTCTGGTCCCACCTATGACATTTTGGACGTGTGGACATATGGGTAGACAGACCCAAATCTTCCATTATCAGCAGAAATCATCATCCATGCCAAATGTGCATTATGAAATTTAGTTTCTTTCTAATAGACTACTCACACATTTCTATCATATTCATTACCAACATTACATATGTACAATGCATAAAATATCAGAAACCTATATAGTAATGAATTGATCTCATGAGAGGCAAAAGCAATTGTAGTAACAAGACTAAGAACACCATGAAGAAATATTTACAACATATTTAGAAGTTTGTTCAAGTGAGATAAAAACTGACAGAAGTTTGCTCAGTAACACCATTCTCCTACATCAGATTCTGAAATCCTGAATCACAGTCACTGAGCAAGGTTTAGGATCATGTAAAAGACACGCCTGATTAACTCCTGGACATCTCATTTCTTGGCCATAAATCCTATTACTGACTGCCATAAAACTTGCCAATAAAAGATAATTTATGCTTAGTGTACAGAAGCTAATGTATCTGTAGAAGGAGAGACCAGAAAATGAGAGCCATTCACACTCCGCATGGTTAGCAAGACAGACATGACTCTGAGCGCCCAACAGTCCTCGCAGGGAATAGGCCTGCCTGGTAACTAACCTCAGGGAGCTTCGTGTCTGCACTGTCTCTCTCCAACCTCATAAAATCTCCTGTGCATGAAAGGCCATGATTCTTAAGAACACATTTTTGGAATTAAGGGGGAGATGCTTACTTTTCAGGGAGGATTTATAATGCATTCTAAGTTTTAATTTTCTATTTAAAATGGCAGATTAAACATTCCTTCAAAGTAAATGCTAACTACTGAGGTTTTCACTCATAATGATATTTGATCCATAGTAATGAAACATACCAAAACACAATATAAAAGATATTATATACCAAAAAGCCAATCAACTGAAAAAGTCTAAACATTTTATCAAATTTATACAGATCTGAAACTACACTATTGTTTCCTTGTTTTAAAATCCAATTTGTAATTAACAAAAATAAGCCACAGAAAGGGGACTGAAGAGAGAATGGAGATGAAATTCTTCAGGCTAGAATAACCTAAACAATTTTAAGTGAACTGCACCTAGACATCAGGTCAGTCCCAAATGACTACAACTGTAACCATAATGAATGAAGGAAGACTACTTATTTATACAACACAGTTTCATGGGAGTCTCATGTGTGGACACTCAGATGATTTGAAGATAGGGAGGCTTTTTTAAGAAAGATCAAGAGAAGTACCTATCAGCCTCATGGTCTACGGCTATCCCAGCCTCTTAAGACACAGCACTAAAGTGTTTATCAGACAAACAGTCCCCAGAAGATGTCTCACTCCTCCTGCTATTACCTTCGATTTCAGACAACCTGTAATTATAGAACCAATTCTAGAAGACACTGTCCTCAAAAACAATACTCATAATAATTAACATTTATATTGAATCTTCCCACTTTTGAAGTATTTTAGCAAAACTCAATGATAATCTCATTGAATCTATTTAAAGATTTTGTTAGAGTTGAAGAGAACTCAGAGTTATTTTGGTTTAATTTAGGGGTAAGGTAACAAGGCAGGATATATCCTTAAGTTTATCCAAGATTTAGCTTAATTAAAAATAATATTGTGGAGATTAAAGCTGCTTAAAAATATCATATGCCGAAACCGGTTTGGCTCAGTGGATAGAGCATTGGTCTGCGGACTGAAAGGTCCCAGGTTCGATTCCGATCAAGGGCATGTACCTGGGTTGCGGGCACATCCCCACTGGGAGATGTGCAGGAGGCGGCTGATCGATGTTTCTCTCTCATCGATGTTTCTGACTCTCTATTTCTCTCCCTTCCTCTCTGTGAAAAATCAATAAAATATTTAAAAAAAAAATATCATAGACTATATGCAATTGTGTTTCCACTGAAGGTGACACAGGGCAGGGCCAGGTGGGCCTTTAAACACATGTGGTGCCACTGGCTTGAATCACTTTGCCATCATCTCCTATAGCAACTATTTACTCATCCTTAAATATTTAATGCAATGTGAGCTCAACAGAATGTACATTCCATGAAATAAAGGGGCTCTGTGTAGGTGGCTGCTGTATTCCTGGAGAAGTGCCTGGCATGTAGCAGGTGCTCAATAAATATTTGTTACATAAATGGAGCAAATAAAAGTTGAGTGAGTGCTTCTGTGAAGCCTTTCCTTACCACACTCTTGACAAGTTATATAATCTTTCATCATCTTTATGGAGCAATGTTTTAATCTTGCTTTATATTTATACTAGAGGCCTGATGCACAAAATTCATGCAAGAGTAGGCCTTCCTTCCCCCAGCTGCCGTCACCAGCTTCCCTCTGGCACCAGGGACCTGGACTTCCCTCTGGCTGCCAGCAGGCACCCAGGACCCGGGCTTCCTTCGCAGCCCCGGCTTCCACAAGAAGGTAATCGGGAAGGATGTCCTGTCTAATTAGCATATTACACTTTTATTATTATAGACTAGAGGCCCGGTGCACAAAAATTTGTGCACTTGGGGGCGCGGGGGGGGGGGGTCCCCTCAGCCTGGCCTGTGCCCTCTCGCAGTCTGGTGGGACCCCTCAGGAGATAACGACCTCTGGCTTAGGCCTGCTCCCGGGTGGCAGAGGGCAGGCCCAATCCCTAGGTGCAGCCCCTGGTTGGGCTCAGAGCAGGGCCGATTGGGGAGTTGGGGCGCCGCCCCCGTCATACACAGAGCAGGGCGGATTGGGAGGTTGCGATGCCACCCTCAGTCAAGCTCAGGGTAGGGCCGATTGGGGGGTTGGGGCACCGCCCCGTCACACTCAAGGCAGGGTTGATGGGGAGGTTGCGGCACCACCCCGTCACGCACAGAGCAGGGCCAATCGGGGTTGGGGCGCTGCCCCCTGTCACGCACAGAGCAGGGCCCATCGGGGGTTGGGGCACTGCCCCCTGTCACGCACAGAGCAGGGCCCATCAGGGGGGTTGGGGCTCCATACCCTGTCACGCACAGAGCAGGGCCCATCAGGGGGTTGGGGAGCTCCCCCCTGTCACTCACAGAGTAGGGCCGATAGGGGAGTTGGGGCACTGCCCCCTGTCACACACAGAGCAGGGCCAATCAGGGGGTTGGGGCGCCGCCACTGTCACACTCAGGGCAGGGCCGATGGGGAGGTTATGGCTCTACCCCATCACACACAGAGCAGGACCCGTGGGGTGGGGGTTGGGGCACCGCCTGGATCAGGGTGGGGGTCCCCACTGGGGTACCTGGCTAGCCTGGGTGAGGGGATGATGGCTGTTTGCAGCTGGTCACACACCCTTCAGGGTGGGGGTCCCCACTTGGGTGCCTGGCCAGTCTGGGTGAGGGGCTGAGGGTTGTTTTCAGGCTGGCGGGTGACTGAAGCTCCCAACGGCTCCTTTTTTTCTTTTTCTTTTTTTATTCTGGGCCAGCTTTAGCTTTGAGGCTTGGCTCCATCTCTTAGGCCTCTGCTGCTGAAAGCAGGTTTCTGGCCTTTGCTTACCTTCTGTATTTGAAACAATGTTGCAATCCTATTGGCTGAAGCCCTACGGACTAAAGCAGGTTTCTGGGGTTTTGTTTAGCTTCTATATTTGTAACATAGTTGCTTAGAGTTGCAGCTCAGAGGCCTGCAGCGGCAGGCGGGGAACGTTGGAGTCCTCTGTCACTGAAGCAAGCAAGCCTCATGTTAGTTTCAAGCTGCCTGGCTGCTGGCCGCCATCTTGGCTGGCAGTTAATTTGCATATTGCCCTGATTAGCCAATGGGAAGGGTAGCGGTCGTACGCCAATTACCATGTTTCTCTTTTATTAGATAGGATTTTATAAGTGTCTGCTTCACTGAACATGGACTGGAGAGCAAAGATGCTATGTCATTTTTTTTTTTTTTTTCTTAATCCTCAACTGCCTAGCAGTGCGACAGGCAGAAGCAGACATAACTTTTGACTACATAAGTGAACAGTAGAATTTGAAACTGAATCCTCAGCTCACCTTCCACATCTCAGAAGTGTTCCAGAAAGCAACAGTTCCAGACAATGCAAAGAACCAGAAAAAATGCAAATGTGGCTGCTCAACGGTGAGCATACATTACACCCATTATATTAACCAAACAAATTGTAGGTAATGACTGCAGATGGAGCAGAAGCAAAACCGTAAGTAGTTCATTACAATAAGAGGTAAAAAATAAAAAGTCTACTGTCTTTAAAAAAAATGTTACCACATGATTATTTTTCAAACTAAAATCCACTAATCAACCTTATATAATCTCATTTACTAAGAAGCCTGCTCTAAGCACTACATTAATAAAAATTTCCTCAATATTTATGATTGGAAATGAATGACATCATCATTAGAAATTTATTCATAGGCAGTGAAATTAATAAAAAGGCAACCTAAGAACAGTAAAAGTTAAAGATTTTTTTAAATGCTTAACAAAATCAACCCCAGTTTCCAATTATAATGACAACACTGCAAATATATGAGAATTCCATTTAAAATATTTGCCAAGCTTTGTTCTTCCTCTGAGATTTTCCTCATATTCAGCTGCTCAAAATGCAAAAGTATTAAATTTAATTCTTAGTCAATTTGATTAAAAGTTACAGGATTTTTTTTTCTGGGTACAACAGAATGAAAACTTTGAGGCTTCTCCCCTACATTTTTCCTGTTCAGTGACCAGAGGCAACAGACTAAAGTAGCACAAGTAAGCAAACATGGTCAGGTTCACTAATGGCTCAAGAACACACATGGGGCTGATGTTTTCTCCTGGTCTACTCAAATGGTACAAGTGTAGTGGAAGCAAATTACTGACAATATAGTTATTCTGCACTTACTGGTTGGAGCAGGTAGATGAGAGATTCCTCTTGGATGATTATAATTGGCAAAGGAGTGATGCGAGTCGCTTGGAACAAGGTGCTCACGGACGCCATGATCTGGTCAAAACGCCCAGCAAGTCCTCCCATTGTCACAATCACATTGACCTGAGGAAGGCAAAGCAAAACTGGAGTCACATAGTTAAAGAATCCTATGTAATAAAAGCCTAGCGACCTTACCCTAACCGGTTTGGCTCAGTGGATGGAACGTGGGCCTGCGGACTCAAGAGTCACAGGTTCGATTCCGGTCAAGGGCATGTACCTTGGTTGCAGGCACATCCCCACTGGGGAGTGTGCAGGAGGAAGCTGATCGATGTTTCTCTCTCATCGATGTTTCTAACTCTCTATCTCTCTCCCTTCCTCTCTGTAAAACATCAATAAAATATATTAAAAAAAAAATGCCTAGCGACCAAATGGTGAAATCACCAGAATCACTGCTCGAACAGTCCCTATGACATGCACTGACCATCAGGGGGTAGACTCACAACACAGAAGCTGCCTCCTGGTGGTCAGTGTGCTCCCACAGTGGGAGCGCTGCTCAGCTGACCAGAATGAGCAGTGCTCCCACAGGGGGCTGATCCCCACAGGCCACGTTCCCCACCAGTGCATGAATCCCGTGCACCAGGCCTCTAGTTTTAAATAACTAAATAGCATCAAACACCTTAATAGGGCTCCTGATATTACATGTTTATCAGATAAGCCATAAAGAATGATAGATATCATTTCTGCTGTTTAGGTGAAGGAATTAAGTTACTTGTTCAAGGTCACAGAATTGGTAAGTGGCAGAGTCAGATTTCAAGACCAACTCTTTCAAGTACAAATTTTACATTTTTCCTACCTGCCTATTCACCTGGCCAACCAGCCAACTCTTCCTTTAAAACTCTGTCCATGTGTTCCTCCTATTTGCAATCTTTCCTGATTTTGCAGCTGGTGCATCTCCCATGCACTCCCAGAGCACACCTGTGGGCACTTATTTAGTAACGCCCAGCAATGGACACTGAGCCTGCTTTACAGGTTGTCACCCCACTAGAATTCAAGTATCTTGAGGACCTGTACTGTCTCTCAACTGAACCTAGCAAGGTGCCTAAACCTCTGTACCTCATTTTTTTTTAATATATTTATTTATTGATTTCACAGAGGAAGAGAGAAGGAGAGAGAGGAAGAAACATCAACGATGAGAGAGAATCATTGATTGGCTGCCTCCTGCACACCCCCTACTGGGGATCGAGCCCGCAATCTAGGCATGTGACCTTGGCCGGAATCGAACCCGGGACCCTTCAGTCCGCAGGCTGATGCTCTATCCACTGAGCCAAGCCAGCTAGGGCTGTACCTCATTTTTAAGTTCACATGTAAATAGTGGATTATAATGGACAATTAATAGAGTTGTTGTGGGGATTAAATGAGGTAATTACATGAGTTATAAGTGTAAAGCATTTGGAACATCCTATCTAATAAAAGTAATATGTAAATTAACTGTCACTCCATGACAAAGATGGTGGCACCCATAGTGGCCAGGGTGGGACACTAGTGCCTCATCTCACAATGTATCAGCATAGGCAGAGCTGGTAGATTGACCATGGAAAAGTAAGGACTGAAGAATTTAGTGAATATATGGCAAGAAAACCTTACATATAATAAAAACAGATAATAATAAACCATTCTATCTGAAATTAAATAGAAATGGTTTAAAAATACAGTGGGGCCTTGACTTACGAGTGTTCTGACTAACGAGTTTTTCGAGATACAAGCCATCTCTTGGCCGATTTTTTGCTTTGAGTTGCCTGCTAAAATTCAGGTTATGAGCCAGCTTCAGATACCCCACCGCTAGTTGGCGCAGCGAACGTCACAGTGAATGCCACAACATCAGCCCAGCATCACGTGTCTCACTCGTTCACTCTTTGATTTGACATACGAGTAATCTGAGTTATGAGCTCCATCACGGAACGAATTAAACTCGTAAGTCAAGGCCCCACTGTAGGAGTATTTAAGTGGATAATTTTTCTGTGGTTCTCCCTGAAAGACAGTGTGATCACACAAGTTAACATATAAACTGAGGTACTTCTGAAAGTAAAGTGTAAATAATTACACCAAGAATATAGGCACAAACTGGGACCATCCCATGTAAACTGAGACATATTGAAAGGAGTTAAAGCAGAATTAGGTAGATAGGGTAACAGATGGAAGAAGGAGGAATCTGTGGAGCTGAAACAAACAAAAAATGTGTTTTGTAGGAAAAAGAATAGCAGAAAAACAGGATGGGTAGCAGAAAAACAGGGTGTTTTGAAACAAGGATGTTTTTCTTGCAAGTGCAAAACAAAATGTTGCAAAAAGGCCAGGAACCAATCAGAGAGTAGCACAGATAGACAAAGAGTGGGCCTTTAGCAGATATAAGGGGAAGAGCAGAATGCTTAGGGGGCAACCCATCTAAATCCCTTTCCCAGGCAGCCTGTGTTTGTTTGCAATAAACTGCCTTGTTTGAACTCTTCTGGTCCACAGCTTCGTTCTTCGAGTCCTTTGAGTCCGTGGGACAAGACCCCAGGAAGAATTCCTACTTGCCAGTTCCGGTATCAATATGTTTACCCTACTGTTTGATAATTACAATATTAACGAAACCAACTTAGCAAAATTCAACACTAGAGTCTCAAAAAATTTAGACATTTTGTGCTACAGTTAGGTTTGAATAGAACGATGAAATTCTTTGGTCCAATTGAATGTCCAGCCCGCATGCTGTATAAGGCCCAGGAAATCACTTGGTCTGACTCTGCCAAGGCAGTAGGGGTGAGTTAAATGTTTGACCAAATATAGCAGGCTAATTTTTAAGTTGATAATTTTGTATGGCCCATGAAAGATGTAATAAATGTCTACATGGTCCTTGGCAGAAAAAAGGTTCTCCACCTGTGCTCTAATTGAAAGATGGAAGACTTGATGGAGGAAACAAAGGGAAGGGCTGAATCAAGATGGAGCAAAACCAAACTGACAGAAACCAGCAATATCAAAATGTTTGAATAAGCCTATAAAATAATTTTTATGATTAATGTGAAGTACAATGAGACACCAAAGGAATTACAAACCTCGGATTTTATGGTATCGAAATATACTGTGTACTGACAAATAAGAATATAACCTCTGCAGGATCTGGGCAGCTGGTGAAAACAATACTACAGGGATCCCACTTAAATTTCAAGCAAGCCCACTGAGTCACGGTTTAATGCAAGCCTGTTTGGGTGAGAAGTAAAGAATGCCTCTTGCATTGGCAACATAATGAGGCTTCCGTTCAGAGATGAGAGTCTAAGAAAACTCAGGATTTTTCTCAATAATTCTTACTCCACCTTCCCTGCTGCAGCTGTCACTCAGGTGAGGTCCTTCTCTCCTAGATAACCCCACGGGCCACCTGCCTGGCCTTGGATAACGAAGTAACCTTCCAACTGATTATGAGAACTGGCTTCTGCATCTGCAATTTGATCATGCATGTTCAGCTTAAAATTAGTGCTGGCTTTCCAGAATATACAAAAGTCCAATGTCCTCCCACGCTGACTCCACAGTTACACCCTCAACTCTGACATCATTTACATTCCACACGTGCTTTAATTGTCAGAACACACCACAGGATATCAATCTGTAGAGCCTGGGCCTCCCCTGCCTTGCAAAGAGTGGAAGTACTATAGTTATTTCCAAAGGATGCTTACGTCCACCCCCTAACAAAAATGAACTTAGATGAATAGAGTGTTTTATCCAAGTCTGTCAAATTGTAAATATGTTATTAAGAAATGCCATAAACATGTTTATATATAACATGTTTTTTAACATGTTATTTTAGAGAAAAAATTTTTAAAAGGTGGAGGAAGGGACATATTTATACTGAAAACAATTTTTGCAATCCTGTTTGCATTTGAGAGAAAAGCTGTGGAAGCAATGATAAGGATCTATGCTAAGACTTCTGACTGCTATAAACCATAATTCCCAAAAAAGTTTATCCTGAAAACCTATACCCTTATTAACCAGAGGAAACTTATCGTGTCCCTGTGTCTTTGTGGAGAGCTCAGCTGAGGGAACTCCAATCTCCTTGTGCAAATGGGAAAGAACTTGCTGGCAGAGGTCCTGGACACACTGGTTACAAGTCCTCAGTGGAAGAAGCTAGGAGAGACACACCAAACCCATTGCAATAAGGTTGTGTGTGTGGCCCCCTCCCTACTAGTTCATTCTGTTAGCTTGTTCAAGGAAACATGTAAATACTGCACTAACCAGGTGTGCACCTGTGATTACTGTGCACACTGCCTGCCCCTTGACATTCCAAACCTAAGAGTTTTATCTTTAGACTTGAACACTCGGAATAAAACACTCCCCCTCATTCTGGTTAGCCCCTATTCTATCTTCCAGACTCAGCTCAGGAAAATGTGTACAAGGGGAGAAGGTTCGGGTCTCACCCACCCTATGAAACTTCAATTACAGCACTACTGACAACAGCATCATCTGCTTAACAAAGGCTGATGGCCACAAATTCTGACAGTCAGAAACTGCCTGACTCACTGTGTTAGTGAAGATGTATGACAGCCTATTGGGAAGGACAAAGAGGTGGAGCTCCAGAGAGAGTTAACTGCCACAGCCTCTGCCAAGCTTGGTCTTTGGGGCTTACTGCAGAAACCTGGCTTACGGAAGACACCACACCACCGGGGAGGGTTGTGTAGGTGCCGGGGGACAATCATGGTTCTCTAGGGCCCTGTAGAAATTGGGTCTTGGTTTGGTCAGTATCTGGCAGTCATAGATAATGCCTGCCTTTCCAGTCAGTGTGGCCATGGGATTTCAAGTGTCTTATTTTGTGGCAGGATTTTTGTGTGACTTTTTTTTTTTTAATGGAAACTATTCCTGGGTTGCAGTAAACTTTATGAAGCCTCAGCAATGTGTTCGTATTAGCCATCAGGAAGGTCTCCAACTAGGGCAGTGATAGCAAACCTATGACACGCGTGTCAGAAGTGACACGTGAACTCATTTTTTTTTTGGAAATTTTTTTAAATGCCAATAAACATAGCATTATTAATTATTTATTTTTAATATATTTTATTGATTCTCTACAGAGAGGAAGGGAGAGAGATAGAGAGTCAGAAACATTG